GCATGTGATATCTTTGTTTTAAAAATTAATGTCATGGAGAGAAAACAAAATAAAATATTAGGGCAAAAGAGAGAAGATTTTGGATTTTTTTGTTATAGAGAGAGAGAGAGAGGAAATAAGAAAAAGATTAAATGATATGTAAAAAACATTATTGATAATATATAAATATACATATATATCATAATATTAAATAATATATGTATAGCATGTGATCCATTTTTTTGAGCTACTCCAATAAATAGCTTTACGTGCTAATTCAATAAATAATGTCTAACAACAATATTAATAATAAATAATAATATAATATCCCATTCTAAAGTGTTTATTTCGATAATAAAAAAGAGGAATAATAAAATTCTGGCTCTAAATATAGTTTTATTCGTATGTGCTAATTTATGAATTTTAGTTAAAACAAGGTACTCGCAGTATCATTTAGAAAGAATATAAACTATTATTTTAAAATATGACGGTCTATTTGTTACAGTTGTTTAAGAACAGTGATGAACCAACTAGGAAAAAAAAAAAAAAAACAGTGATAAACAAAAAAATAGTTCAAATTTTATTTTTGATTGATAATTTTCTAAAAATTAAGGTTATGAAAAGGCAAATATTAAAGAACAATACCTTATAATTTTTAAAAGTTATTTTCTATTTTTCAGAGTTATTAAAAATGAAACTACATATGTAGAATAGTGCTGAATAATGAGCTATAATAAGTGCTTTATTTATTTATTTATGGAAAAGTCGGTGAAGCATTATTTAAGTATTAATCAGTAAGAGTGATGTCAGGTCGAGATTATAAAAATAATAATAATTACAATAAACATTAAAAAATTAATGATGAAAATTTTGTGGATTGAAATGGAATCTCATAAATTAGGTCAATCAAATTTCATTTCATTAAGTGAGTCTTTTCATCAATAGATTTCAATTTTATTCCAATTGCATACATCAAATGACTAAATAATTTAAAAACATAGGAAAATTTGTGGGACCAAATTCAACAATTTTTCTTATAGTCAATGTGGTCCATTTGATAAGATAAGACTTGATAAACCTATTAAAAAATCTGAAAATAATTTACAGAGAGTATCTTTTTCACTAAATTTGTATAATACTAATCTTTCAATAACAAATGATTTCAACTTATGTCATGTGAAAACAAATATTAAGATATAGGAAAAGTTAAAAGGCAAAAACTCCTCTGACTTATTTATTTTTTTTACAAAAAATTTATTTGATTTGACTAATAATCTCCTGAAGTTAGATGGATGTAAGTCCCTGATGTCACCTTTATGATTAAAATAAGATCTTAATAGTCAAACGTATATATTTTGCACTTCATGAGAAAAATATCTTTAGTTAAAAAAAGAAAAAGAAAAATACGTACTTAAAATGCATCACACATAGACATATATTTTGCAGATGGTGGACATTGTGACCCTCTTGCTGACTATTATACCCCTAGCCGCCTTCACTCCTAGTTGGTGGTCGTCATTTATTTGTTTTACACTTTTGAAATTTCCTTCTTTTCAACATTATTTAGTGATATGCTATGTCGGGATGGTAAAATTTGACACGATGCGTCAATACGATTCGAACACGATACAAAATAAACATGTTTGAGTTTATCTTAATTGAATTTCGATCATAAACTGGTCGACACGATTAACTCGTTTAATTAATTGTGTCGTGTTTAGGTTGAGGAGTTCAACAGGTGTAACTCGTTTAACTAAAGGTTAACTCATTACCTACCAAGGGCCTTGTGCCCCAGCGGTATCTCATCTACCTCCCAAAGTGGATGAGCAAAGTGGGTGAGTATAACTTTCTTGCCAATGACAAAAAATAAAAAATAAAATAAAATAAAATAAAATAAAAATCCTGTAACTCATTACCTGTTTAGACCCAATTAGACCCAATTGCTATGGACAACTAGGTCATTTCAATTGGGTCTAACACAAATAATATAATATTTAATTTGATAAATAAATCATTAAACAAGTTAACACGTCTAACCTATTTAATAAACAGGTCGGTTAGTGTTGAGGGTTTCTAGGGATGGCAAAAGGGCAAAGTTGGGGCGGGTTTAACTAAACCCAGCCCCGCCTTGTTAGAAAATCCGTCATATCAACTCCACTCTTACTCTGGGATGAGTTTGTAATTGGTATATCATCCCCGCCCTTATTTCGGTAGACAAAGTATTGACTCCGTCATGCATACTCCATTTAATTGTTGGGGTGGGGCGGGTTATGCCACTTTTATTATTTAAAAAAAAAAAAAAAAAAAAAAAAAAAACTAGCTCAATGTGCTCAAATTGGACTGATAATAAGTTGGCCCTAACTTTTTAAATGATTAAGCATAGTATATAATATATTAACCGACACTTGAAGGAAAGTAATAAGAACAACTCCAATGGGCTGCTATTTGAGTTGCTATTTTAAAAATATAGAATGTGAGTTTAAAATGGGCTATCCAATGGCATGCCAAATGGGCTGCTAAAATATAACTTTGCCAAATATTGTGCCAAATATAACATAACATATAGCTATTGCCAAATCTGCTATTGCTATCTTCCTTCATCTTCTCTCTCGCATGGGCTGCTAATTTGGTGTTGTGCTTGTGTGTGTGTGCATATATATATATATATATATATATATATATATATACATATAGCCCCGTTCAATTGCTCCCTGGTGTGCAGGAAGCAATATATGTGACTTCTATTTCAGTTGTTAGATTTCATCCAATGATTGAAATTGAAAACAGTTATTTTAGTTGTTTCTGGTTTTTTAAGATTCTAAAACCACTCAATTTGAGTGTTTTAAATAAAATAAAACACCTTATAATAAGGAGGTATTAATAATGAAAAAAATAAATAAATACTTCCACTAAAATCGTGAATTCCTTCTATTCGTACAATTTTTTTTATTTTATTAAAAGAATTTACTTCTAATACGTAAAACCATCGTAAAAGTATCATTTTAATACACAAATATAATCCATATGATTAAATAAAATAATATCAAATTTATTATAGTAGAATAAAAAAAATTTGGCAGGACATTCAAAAGAAAGGAATGAGATTATTGTATATTATTCTCTCTAAAAAAAAATAAATAAATAAAAAAACTAATGTAAAAAGTTAGAATAAAAATTGCACTGAAAAAAAAAAAAAAAAAAAAAAAAAAAAAAAACGAAATGGATAACTCTTCTAAACCAGTAAAAATAGAAAATGGTCTTTGATTGTATTACCTTAAATGTTTATTCTGAGTGTTTTATTTTATTTAAAACACTCAAATTCAATGGTTCTGGAATCTTAAAAAATCAGAAACAACTAAAATAGTTGTTTTCAATTTCAGTCCTTGGATGAAATTCAACGACTAAAATAGAAGTCGCGTATATGTTCCCTGCACACCAGGGAGCAACTGAACGGGACTGTATATATATATATATATATATATATATATATATATATATATATATATATATGTCAGTATTGTGTGTATATATATGTATATGTCTGTTGTGTGTATATATATATATAAATATATGCCAGTATTTTTATTTATTTATTTATTTTTAATAAGGCAAATAAGCGAAATAAAATAGAAACACTAAAAAAAAAAATTGGTTGTTGAAAATTGTAGTTGGAAATGGTAGTTGAAAAATAATGGTTGTTGTGTAAAAAAATAATATTTTGGATGAAATGCACCATTGGAGCAAAATTATTAAAATATATCATTTTGACATTGTAGTTCTTCTCAAAATATAGATTTAGTATGCAAAAATAACATTTTGCATTGGAGATGGTCTAAGGGTCTTAAAAATATTAAATATATATAAATTTTAAAGATACATATATAATCGGGGCTGGGGCTGGGGCGGGGCGGGTTTATTACTAAATCTGCCTTCGCCCCAAACCCGCTTCGAATTTTTAATTATTTTACTATACCCATCCCAAATCCATTTAGGGGCCTTCCAAATTCGCCACATTCGGAGTGGGGCGAGGAAAATTGTCATCCTTAAGGATTCTAACACGATTATTAAATGAGTTGTATTCAGGTTGATCTTTTCAGTAAAATACCCTCGTGTTGACACGACACACACAAGTAATAATGTTTAATTTTTGTTTATTTAATTAGTTTTAATGTTATTCATTGTTTTAGAAATAAAAAATATGCCCCTTTTGTTTTTGTATTAGATTTAAATCTTTTCAGAAACTTATATCACCTATCAAAATAAAAAAAGTTGTCCGAGTGCAATTAATCACAAGCTTGAGCTCAAACTTAAACGTAAGAAGAGGAATGAAGTCAAATTTAAAATTTATTAGTAATGAATGAATGGAGTTCCAACATTAAATTAAGAGTTCAAACATTATTATTTTCTAACCGAAGCCAACTCAAATCAATTTTTTACTCAATTCCTTTGTAGTCCTAATTTTGTAAAATCAAATGGATCATAAGTCCATCTAGAAGGAGTGTCATGTTCGCCATGACTACTATTTTAAATGATCCGAAAGCTATGTCCTTTACACGACAATTTTTCTGTTTTCACGTTTCAACTGTAACGACCATGTTTTCAAATCCCACGCGGCACATGAGGAGAGGTTGCCAAAACGGTCACAACACAACGTTCCCTAGACGAAATTTCAAAATTGAGACAGTTTCCCAATCTGTCCAATCCCATCTCTTTCTCTATCCGGGTAAAAAAAAACACACAGCCCCCAAACTAGGGTTAAAATCATAACAAGAACAAACGCCCACAAGTGATGTAAAAACACACACAACACACACAAGTGGTAATAATGACAACACCAAGTTATAGCAATAGAGCAGTTGTGGTTTTTACTACACTTGTTAAAGAGAAATAACTATAATTAATAAAAGAGAATAATTTTATTAATGATTAGGAAAACGTGAAGTGGTTGAAGAACATTAAATAATCAATCAAAGCCCTTTTCGATTGCAATTTTGCTTTTTAAAAGGAAAAATCGGTCAAATTCAGACAACAGATTCAAACAATTCTTGCAATATTATTTTTGATTTGATTTTGATCTTGATCTCCTTCTAGAACAACACAGCACACACCCTCTCTCTCTCTCTCTAAAAGTCTGTGTCTCTCTTTCTCTCTCTCTATAATTCCATCTTCATTCAAAGACTTCGCTCTAATTTTTATGATTTTGATTTGTTTTTGTCGACACCCATTACGACTTTTCCCAATCTCTTGCAATCTTCGCCCTCGCCCGCCTCTTCTCTCTCTACAATGCCTTTGACCTTGAAAATTTCTTCTCTCACCTCTCTCTCCTCTCCCAGATCAGATATACCCATCTTTCCTCAACCCATAGCGCAAGAGGAACGCAACCCAGCTCAAGGATCAGCTCTCTATCTCTTTCTCTTTCGCTCTCTAGAACGCTTTGGTGTTCAAGCAAGTAAGTTCTGAAAACCCAATACAGCAAAAACAGCTCCGAGTCCTAAATTCCTAATTATTTCTGTAAATTTGCATTTGTATATGTGTTTAGAACTGTAGGAGAAGAACCTCAATCTGGCAATAGATACAAGTTTATATTGTTTGTTCGAGTACTGCGTCTTTGTTTTCTCAGTGTTGTGTTGAATTTTGTTGTGATTTTTGGGAATTTTAGTTGAGATCAATTTTTGGGTGTTTGATGTATTTGGTGAATATTGATTCTGTGCTGTTCAAGAGGTCCGTGATCTTCAGATCATGGCCTCAAAGAGGGCTCTTTTAATCCCTTCTCCTAGAACCCCAGGTGCCCCAGAACTTCCTTATACACCAGTCTCTGCTGATCTGTTCAAACCCATCTCTGACAACCCCAAATTCTCTTTGGGGATGGATTCAAATAGCCCAATTGAGACTACCTCTGCCCCTGATTCTGTCCCAAAATCATCATCTTATCGAAGCATTTCGTCCATTCAATCGAGAGGGTCTGGTGGAAATTCAGTTAGAGAGGTTAACTTAGGTGATTTGGGATCGAAACCCGTGAGGTATGGATCGAGGGGTGCTGATTCTGAAGGGTTTAGCGTGTCCCAGAAAGAGATTAATGATGAGGATGCAAGGCTAATATATGTAAATGATCCAGTGAAAACGAATGAGAGGTTTGAATTTGCTGGAAATTCAATTAGGACTGGGAAATATTCTGTCCTGACCTTCTTGCCTCGCAACCTTTTTGAACAGTTTCATAGAGTTGCATACATATATTTCCTTGTGATTGCTGTCCTCAACCAGCTTCCGCAGCTTGCGGTTTTTGGTAGGGGAGCTTCAATCCTGCCTTTAGCCTTTGTATTGTTAGTTACAGCAGTTAAGGATGCCTATGAGGACTGGAGGCGGCACAAGTCTGACCGAATTGAGAACAACAGGTTGGCATCAGTTTTTGTAAATAATCAGTTTCAACAGAAAAAATGGAAAGATATTCAGGTTGGTGAAATCATCAAAATCTCTGCAAATGATACTCTTCCTTGTGATATAGTGCTGCTTTCGACCAGCGACCCAACTGGGGTTGCTTATGTCCAGACCATTAATTTGGATGGAGAATCAAATTTGAAGACACGGTATGCAAAGCAAGAGACCCTTTCTAAGATTCCTGAGAAGGAGAAGATTAATGGGTTGATAAAGTGTGAGAAACCCAATAGAAACATATATGGGTTCCAGGCGAACATGGAGATCGATGGGAAGCGGGTGTCTCTAGGACCTTCCAATATAGTTCTCCGTGGGTGTGAACTCAAGAATACTGCTTGGGCACTAGGTGTCGCAGTGTATGCTGGCAGAGAGACCAAAGCTATGCTCAACAATTCTGGAGCTCCATCAAAGAGGAGCCGGCTTGAGACCCGTATGAATAGGGAAATCATTCTCCTCTCTCTGTTTCTTGTCGCTTTGTGTACAGTTGTTTCTGTTTGTGCTGGTGTTTGGTTGAGGCGCCACAGGGATGAGCTGGATGACTTGCCCTATTACAGGAGAAAGGACTACTCTGAAAGTGAAGGGGATGAGAAGGATTACAAGTATTATGGATGGGGAATGGAGATATTCTTCACCTTCCTCATGTCAGTCATTGTGTTCCAGATTATGATCCCTATTTCATTGTATATTTCTATGGAGCTTGTCCGCGTTGGTCAGGCTTACTTCATGATCAGGGATGCCCGGATGTACGATGAAGCCTCAAATGCAAGATTCCAGTGCAGAGCTTTAAACATAAATGAAGACTTGGGACAAATAAAGTATGTGTTCTCTGACAAAACTGGTACACTGACTGAGAACAAGATGGAGTTTCAATGTGCAAGCATTTGGGGTGTAGATTACAACAATGGGAAAGCTATACAAGGGGAAGAAGTTGAATACTCTACTCAAGGTATTACATTTTTTTGCTTTCTGTGGAAAACATAATCTGTTGTAAAAACATCAGCCTTTTGTTTTATATAAGCTGACTTTCCATTCTCTGTTTGCTTTTTTTGGTATCAGTGGCCGGGCAGGTTTTGAAGCCAAAAATGAAGGTGAAGGTTGACGCAGAGCTTCTACAACTATTAAAAAGTGGAAAGGATACAAAGGGAGGCAAAAATGTTCATGATTTCTTCCTTGCATTGGCTGCTTGCAACACAATTGTGCCTCTTATTGTAGAGACATCTGATTCTACTGTGAGTGTTATAGATTATCAAGGGGAATCTCCAGATGAACAGGCATTGGTTTATGCGGCTGCTGCCTATGGTTTCATGCTTATAGAACGAACCTCTGGGCACATAGAAATTGATGTCCAAGGTGAAAGGCAAAGGTAATTTGAAGTTCCTTTCTTCACCCTCTCTTAAGTATTTTTTTTTTTTCTATTTGATTCTTATACCACTCTGCTAGCGATGCCACTCTGTTAGATTGGTTGGCATTAGAGGAGCTGGATTAATTGCTTGGTTACACGGTGGCACTCATTTTCATGGGTGGTTAGTTTTTGTAGTAGTGTCACATGTGAAACAGGAATATTATATCCAGGAAATGGTTCCATAATACTCAGAAGTCTCAAGCTACTTCAATTACTCAATATGGGTTAGGGACGTTGTGGTATAACAAAAAAGAAAAGAAAATTGCTTTTAGATTTAAAAAAAGAAGATTGAAACTTGGTTGAAGTCAAATTCTTTAATATATTTCAAAATGACTTAGAAGGATGTCCGTGTAGTTTTCCTTTCCAGAATATAGACAACATTATGCTTAAAGTGATTCATCTGATAAATTATTTTAATAACTATAGCAGCATAAACGCGAGAGTGAATTGGGCTTCGGATTCTTTTTCCTGGATCTAAATTACCGATTTTTTTCCGTTTGGCCTTGTTAGGAAGTCATACTGATAGGGCAAATGCTATGATGATGATAATCTTTAGTGGGGAGCGAATGATATGGTAGTCGTGGTGGCAATATTTTTATTGTTATAGTTGATTGCTCTGTTTTTTAGTTCTTTTTCCTTCTTTTTTATTATTATTTTTATTTTTAATAAGAAATTGAAATTCCCTACCATGACATGTAAACCTTATTATGTCTCTTTTCTGATGAAATTTCCAATTATGGGCAGTACAGGTTCAATGTTTTGGGTTTGCATGAGTTTGATAGTGACCGGAAGAGGATGTCTGTTATATTGGGTTGTCCTGACAAGACCGTTAAAGTTTTCGTAAAAGGCGCTGACACAACCATGTTTTCTGTAATCGATAAGTCCTTGAACTTGGACATTGTACGTGCAACTGAAGCCCATATTCACTCTTATTCCTCAGTGGGTTTGAGAACCCTTGTTATAGGAATGCGGGAACTGAGTGATTCAGAATTTGAGCAATGGCAGTTTTCTTATGAGGCAGCAAGTACTGCTTTGATTGGAAGGGCAGCTTTACTTCGTAAGGTTGCGGGCAATGTAGAAAATAATCTCAGGATATTGGGTGCCTCTGGAATTGAAGATAAACTGCAGCAAGGCGTGCCAGAAGCAATAGAGTCTCTAAGAATGGCAGGGATTAAAGTGTGGGTTCTGACGGGGGACAAGCAAGAAACTGCTATATCCATTGGCTACTCCTCCAGGCTTTTAACAGGCAAGATGACGCAGATTGTAATCAACAACAACTCTAGGGAATCGTGTAGAAAGAGTTTAGAAGATGCCTTGATTATGTCTAAAAAACTCATGACGGTGTCTGGTTCTACGCAAAATGCTGATAGAAGTTCTGGAGCTGGTGCAAGTCCTGTTGCCTTGATAATTGATGGAACAAGCCTTGTGTATATCCTTGACACTGAACTTGAAGAACAGGTAAATTTTTGTAACCTGGTTGGTCCTTCCTCTGCTCCCCCCTTCTCACTTATCCCGATTTGACTTTTTCTTTTCTTTTTTGTTTTTGTTGTCATCGTTTTGCAGCTCTTTGAATTAGCAAGTAAATGTTCTGTGGTTCTTTGTTGTCGTGTGGCTCCATTGCAAAAGGCTGGAATTGTTGCCCTCATAAAGAACCGGACAGATGACATGACCCTAGCAATTGGGGACGGTAAGTACTATTTTATTTGTTTATTTTAAAATCTAGATTGAGATATGTTACTCTTGAAAAATGATATGAAAAGTTCTCCTGGGTTTTTGTCTTGATCTGATAATAGAAGCTTCTACTGCTTTCTAGGTGCTAATGATGTTTCAATGATTCAAATGGCTGATGTGGGAATTGGCATCAGTGGACAAGAGGGTCGGCAAGCTGTTATGGCATCAGATTTTGCAATGGGGCAGTTCAGATTCCTGGTTCCTCTTTTATTGGTCCATGGACATTGGAATTACCAGAGAATGGGCTACATGATATTATACAATTTTTACAGGAATGCAGTGTTTGTTCTCGTCTTGTTCTGGTAAGTGCTTCACTGCTTCTGCAGAAACATGTTTTCATTTCCATTTTGTTAATAGGGAATAAGGGAATACACCAGTCAGCTTAGCGGTTGAAGTTTGTCACATGTGATGTCACAGACTTGAACCTAAACTGAGTCTTCACATTGGAGGGTGGTGTAATTGCAATATACTATAATTTATATCTTCTTATTTTTTTGTCCTTTTTTTATTCCCTTTAATCAATGTTCAAAAATATATGCGTTAGGTCATTTTTATTTTGAGAATTCCCCCTTTTCTTTTATTGTAATTCTGCATAATACCTTCTATTTTGGTACTTTTCTTTTAAATGTTAAATTTTCTTCCTTTATGCTTTTTGGAAAATGGTTAAGTCAAAATCTGGTGGCAAACATAGTCGAATGACACCTTTGACCAGCAAGCTAACTAGGTGAAAGCTAGTTGACTTTGATCTACTTTGAATTAAAGCAGAAAAGTTAAGTCACAGTAATCAATTTAGCCAATTAGGATGAGGTTGAATTTTCAGAGGACAAAAAATATAAAATCGGGGTCAGTTGTGTATGAAAAGGCCTCTTTATAAATATTTCTGACAGTGTTCTCATGTGTTCTGCATAGGTATGTGCTCTTTACCTGCTTCACTTTGACGACTGCAATCAACGAATGGAGCAGCGTGTTGTTTTCAGTAATTTACACTTCATTGCCTACAATCGTTGTTGGAATCCTAGACAAGGATCTAAGTAGAACGACTCTTCTAAAGTATCCTCAGCTTTATGGGGCTGGACAGAGACAAGAATCCTACAATTCAACATTGTTTTGGCTGACAATTTTGGACACTTTGTGGCAGAGTATAGCTGCCTTCTTTGTCCCCCTCTTTGCATATTGGGAAAACAGTCAAAGCACTACTGATGGTTCAAGCAGTATTGATGGTTCAAGCATTGGAGATCTTTGGACACTTGCAGTGGTGATTTTTGTTAATATTCACTTGGCCATGGATGTGATTCGGTGGACCTGGATCACTCATGCATCCATTTGGGGATCCATAATCGCCACCTGCATTTGTGTCATTGTCATTGATGCTTTGCCCACGTTACCTGGTTACTGGTATGGTTCCTTACCTATGTTTTTTTTGGTCGTTTTTAACACCTGTGCAAAGTACTGCTACTGATATGTGGCAATTGAACCCTGCCACCCGTGTATGTCACAGATGCTTTTTCCCAAAACAATAATTCCCAACAAAATTCACTCGAACATACCCTAGAGCCCACTGCAGGAAAGCTACGTAACCACAATCTCAACTCCAAGTGCATTGTTTTTCTTAAAATTCACCGATGGAGAGAGCTTAACTCTGAAGATAGGCACTTTTTAACTTTCAATTACCTATGCCTTCGGACTATGCTTTTTGATGTCCTAAATCAATTATAGTTCTGACAAGAGATCACATATGTATTTTCTCAAGGAAACACCAACTTGAAAGCCTACCTCAAAATTAACATTGTTAAATGAAAAAAAAAAAAATTAAAAGAGAAATGCTGTGTCACTGTCACATAACTTGTGTTAGACTGAGTCCATTGAGTACCAGTGATACTGTGCACATCACTGCACAGTGCACAATCATAGGTTATTCAATTAAATGAGACTGCAATTGTGAAAGGATGAGGGAACCTATCTGGTCATTATGCAATTTGATGCATTTAGGCGACCCTCGATTTTTGAGGCTTAAACTGCAAAGTCATTCTGTTAAGTGGAAACAACTTCTCCATTCGTGGAGAGGCTGCTGGAGAAAAACTTCCCTTCACCTTTAATACTTATTTATTTGCATCATCAACCAATTGTATCATGTTAAATAAGTAAAAGTGCATTATTTTAGTGGGTCCCATCACTATATGTCAATATCTAATCAGTTGGTGGTGATACCACGTCACTAATACAACCGGCACAATTAAGTTTTTCTCGTACATCTGACCCTCTCTAGACCCTTGCACGAGGGAGCCTCATGTGCTGGGCTAGCCCTTCTATATATATATCCAATATATGTAACAGCACCTCGAGAGGAATCCATAAGTATGTTCTAATGCAGGCATTGTTCACAATAAAAGATAATCTATCTTGGAAACTGCATTATCATAATTATGTTCATATTTACATGCACGTGTATCGAAATTAAATTACTGATTTGCAACTCCAATGTTATTTTGCAGGGCCATCTTTCATCTTGTAAGGACAGGATTGTTTTGGTTGTGCTTACTTGGCATCCCAGTAGCAGCAATGATTCCTCGTTTTGTTGTAAAAGCTTTAGTTCAATACTATAGACCTTCAGATGTTCAGATTGCGAGAGAAGCCGAGAAGTTTGGGAATTTTAGGAATTTTGAAGGTGCAGAAATAGAAATGAACCCGATTTTCGACGCTCCTCGGAGATGATTAGGTGGTTTTGTTCCTTGAATCTCCTTTATTTTTTTTTTTTTATACTTTTGTAAAAATGTCTCATTCTTTAGGCTGCTTCGAGTTTCCGCCTTGCCTTGCCATTTTTCCATTTTTTTACCTATCCAAAGGATAGAAATCGTTATACTTAGGTTTGTATTCTTCTATGTTGTATCTTCCTTAGAATTATTAAATGTAAATTATCATTGTTTACGTCAGGAGATTTTACACAGTTGTAACATGAAATTACCATCAAAAGAGTTGAGTTTGCACTTTTGGTGTTTGTCTCCTTGATATGCTCTGCCTAATTGGAGATGTTGCTAGCAATTAGTTCACTGGAAGTCAAATATATTACCTTCTCGATTAACACAATAATATATAATATTTTTTAATTCATTTGGTAATAAATTTATTTAAACACTTGTGTTGCTAATTTTTTTTAATAATATCGTTTTATTAAGAAAATAGCGTATTTGTCTTTGTAAAAAATTAAAAAGACAAAATTTTCTAATGTAAAAGGCCTTCAAATGATTACGAATTTTTAAATTCTAATGATCATCAAACACATTTAATCGTAATTTTTTAAAATAAAATTAAATACGTTTATAATGATTACCTATAACAACAATTATATAAAAATACTTTTAGATTAAGGGGCATTTATGAAGTGTTAAAAGTTCTAGTTGCATGGACGTTCTTAGGGATGAAAATGACTCCAAATAACCAACATGAATTATAATAAATTTAAAACTGAAAATGAAAATGACTCTAAATAACCAACATGAATTATAATAAATTTAAAACTGAAAATTTTTAAGAGCTAAATTTTAAGCATGAAAGTTTTTAAGTGGTAATTATAAAATAAATATTCTTTTGATATTTTTTTTGAATTTCAGTGTTTAATATTCAGTGATAAATGATGACTCTATCATTTAAAATTTTAAATCATTTTAAGTGACGGTTACCGCTTTCAGTGATATTCAAATTATTTTATCAAACACATTTGTTAAGCGCTGAATTGAATAATCAAAACTTAAGAATTAAAAATTCTAATTGATGAAAATGATGTTGGGTTTAAATAATAAATAACATGTAAAAATCAATATTGATCTTGAATTAAAGAGAAATTTTTGATATCATACCTGATTAGAAAATTAAATTAACTTTAGATACCTTTCAAAATTCTTTATCGCCCCTTGAGAGATCTGAAAAATTAGAGCGCTTTACCCCCTTCTGAAAGTTGTCGATACGATAGGTTTGAATAAGGGTTTTAAAACCCTTATATATAACAACAACAGGGGGGAACGACTTCTCTACAAACAAGCATACTTAAGTTTCCCTTCCTATTATGAAAACTTAGATATTAATGGTTAGAATTAAATCACACCAAATAAGTCGAAAAACCACGATCTAACGATATAAAAAACATATTCCCAATTAGACTACCAAATTAGAAAGTACAACCCAATCCATCAAGTATCAATAATTACATTATAATCCTACTTTAGAAAACGTAATGCATAGGACCATAAAATAATTTTTATTATTTAAATATATATATATATAAATTCCAACAATCTCCCACTTGGTCCATGCACTCTAAGTTTTATAAAATGACACTATGGATTGCAACACACTTTATAAAAGTTGAGTGACCACTCTTTTTCATTTAGAAAACACAATTATCGAAATTGATGGATTGAAACTTTAGAACACTCTCCTCCATAAATTTCCTCAATAGTGAATCATGAATGCATAGACAAGTAATATATTAGTCTAAACAGTTCCATGGTCTCAAAACCGATTCCATCTAGGATTCAAGCAAATATAGTGGCTTTTACTGTATTTCATGAGATGTGTAAACTGCATGTGGTCTAAACGTACACCTCACTATCTATCCGTCCTGCTTCATGCCATTGCGGTATGTCACCTGAACATATTATAGCAAACCGCCAATCTTTTGTTCAGTGTAAGGGTTTACCGATATGGAGCCAATCTCATATCTAACCCAAGTTATCCTCATAGAGTGTTAACACTCCCACAGGCAAACTTTAGTAGTTATGTTTGGTTTACCAATGTGGTGCCAATTTCACATCTAGCCCAAATAACTTCATGAGTGAAATACCACTCTTAGGCAACAAGAATAACACGCGCACATATCATATACAACAATGTAATAACAATGATGATGATGCATCATAACTTTATTTTCATGCAAATAACTGTCACCATAAGGTATAAATAAACTGAAAGAAAACAACTCCAATGTAACATGATGTAATAGAGAAATCAGACATCATAACACAATGACTCTTGAATACCCATCCGAATCACGTGCTCTTTAAATATTTTTTTATACCCAATAAAATAATCATTGGTAGTGTGAGTATTAAGTTCCTTAATATCTGCATTTTATAACTCTATCTCTATAAGACATCTCTACACTTTCTATTTTCTACAACTTTATTCTGTTCAGGAAAACTAAGAGTGGTGTACTGTGGCACAATGCACTGTTCTTTAAGTATGTACTGAAAGTACTACGATTTACACCCTCCTTACCATTCTCCCATTAAAACTCACCACCTTAGTCCAATCTTAAAACCAAAATGTTTATACTAACTACTTTCAACTTTAATCTAATAGATTTTACACACATCAAGTGCTTCGAACTTCTGGTGAATTAAATACACAATCATACCTTGAGAACCCGTCAATGAAGACAATGAAATACCTTTGCTGCAATCGAGCTACAATAAGAAATGAACCACAAATGTCAGTATAAATATAGTCCAAACGACCAAATGACCGACTAGCCTCAAAAAATTGTGTTTCTTAGCATCTGTCCTTTGACACAACCAACGCATAAATTTGTGGCCAAATAATCTCATCCTTGACCAAGCGTTCAAGTCTCTTTTGAGAAACATTCCCCAATATCCTATGCATAGCATAGATGAATCCTCTTTAACCAAAGCACGATTTTATTCGGAAGGTATTAAGTCTATTGAAAACAAGAAGCAGGTAGGATCACATCCGGATCCATTTACTATGTACCTATACTTTTACAAGTTTGGCTCAAATATTAACATGGCGATTTTCTTTCATACTTTGTTTTTCTTTTTCACCACAATAACGTTTTTCTTTTGATGTTCTTTTATTTCTACAGAACTAACATTTATCATTTCATGATTAATGTCTTTTCATGTATTGTTCTGCCTTGCTTTATTCTTTTTAGCCTTATATACTTTTTGGCCGCCTAGTTTCTTTTTGAAAGTATTTTTGCTGTCACGACAAGATGAGCTGACTCAGTTTTAACACTCATGAGTCGTTCCCCTTCAATCACACGAAGTGCTAACAGCTGGCTAATGCCACATTTAACTTCTTATGAATTAGGGTAAAGTGCACTAAACCCCCCTAAGCTTTCTTCTCTCTCTCAAGAAACCCCCTTGAACTATAAGAAACACACTTAACCTCCTAAACTATTTTATTTGTTGCAAATGTTATGTTACAGTTAGAAATCTAATAGAATGTCTGTCGCGTGAGGGTCACAAATTTTAAAAAAACAAAATTAGCCCTTATGGCAATCAAGAGATAAAATATGATATATATATATATATATATATACACACACACACACATGTGTGTGTGTGTATATATATATATATATTGATTGCCATACACGTGTGTGTGTGTGTAGCTGTGTATATATACTTGCAAAGTAGGTCATTCTCTGACTGGGTCCTCTTCTTTCCATTACCCTTCATCTTCAAACCCTCTTCCAGTTGTTACTGGGATACATTCGCAGATAACTATTTTATCTATTATAGTCATGAATGAAATAAAAGAAAGAGAAGAAAATCTTAGTTTTGTTCGACACATTCATAATGGGTTAAAAAAATTCTTCCACCTGTAAATTACCATATTGATAAGTTAAATAGTGAGGCAATAAATTCCAAGCATCTAAAAAATTTATGTATGTAGAGACTTAGAATGATAGAAGCTTCTTCTGATGGAGATTTTACCATACGTTATTTCGATCCCGGAGGAAAAAAAAAAAAATTCAAGATAGACCTTTTTTGATATCACACCTCTAACCTGTAAAAAATCCTTCACAAACATCACCACTCTTGTGGCTCTCTCTCTCTCTCTCTCTATATATATATATATATATATATATATATATATATATAACACACACACATATATATAAACATACTGTGAGAAAGATGAGTAAAGCAAGGTGAGAGAAAAAAAAATGAACAGAAATCCCACAAACCCATATCTTTAAAGATTCAATTTCATCCTAATTTGAACAAATTTTACAAATCGGGCCGTTAAATTGCTATAGGATCTTCGCAGTAAATTGTCTCGATTATAACGAAGGATCGATCACGTCGAATCTTTCATGCTCAATCGCGTCGGCGGTAGATATTCACGATCTACGCCTCATTCTCCGATGATGATTGCTTTAGCAATGGACGCGGCGGTGCAAATTGTTGGGCTACCGTGTTTCTCATAAGCACGGATGTCGCTGTCAGATTGCAACCAACAATTTGGGATTTCAGTGGCCAGAAATGAACTGCCTCTTCCTCACGTCATCGAAGATGGTGGTTCTGTCCACCATTTATGGTGTCCACCGTCTGAAAACTTTCAGGAAAAAGAGGGGAGAAACAGAAGAGGAACAAAAAAGAAAAAGAAAATCAAATAACTGAACAATTGTGATAAGAATGATGTGTTGTAACTTTTATATTGGCTATTGATATTGTTTTACCACATCAGCAGCTAAAGTTCAATGGAACTTAAAACAGTGCCCTTAAGGGTGAAAAAGTAATTTACTTTTTTCGTTAACGACTCACTAACGTTTCGTCCTCATGTGCAACAAAATGATAGTTGAAGGGGGTTTTACTTATTTCAGGGGGGTTTATTGCAATGGGGTCATAGTTTAGGGGGGTTTAGTGCACTTTACCCTATGAATTATAATTCACATTGAAAAGCTAAAAAAACCTAAGCAAAGAATAGATCACCATGTGGACTAATAACTTATCATCAAATATGATTCTCTACTACCTTAGATCATTAACCAGCTTGCACATCATATAGATGTGCTCCCTCACTGAACAATTGCCATTATATCTGACTAACATGAATCATATCAGATAATAGTATTATAGTTGTTTCTTAATTCCCATTAACTCTTTCTTAATAAAATCAAGAAGCTCATTGGCAGTATCAAAAAACCAGAATACCACCCTGAATAGTATCACCAATAGAAGCA